AGAGGCAAGTTGAGATGATTAATGCCCAGTGCGGTGTTGGAAGAATTGCGTTATGCTTAATTGGCGTTTGCTGTTTTTTTTTGAAAGGCATTGACCGCAAGACAGTTCAGTATTCTTGCCTGTGGTCATTTCAGAAAGCAGAAGACATGGAGTGCAAGTGAACCTCTTGGAAATTTTCTGGAATACGACACCGTCCATGCAGGTTAAAGGTTCCGCGCTTGTGACGGCTGACATTGAGCGCAGTTACCAAACAATGTTTCTGCGCATGTCAGGCTCTTTTTGTTCGGATGGCCATTATCGTACTATCCCAGCAACAAGAATCCGTGCCTTCTGCTGGCATTAACTTTGGCTGCTGAGGCGTGGAACGAACCTCCCCGCCTCCTACTGGCGAATTGTCTTGCCTACTGCTGCGCTCACCTAGGCAAACTATTGCGTGGCAGCCTGGGCATGCTTGACAAGTACTTATTTTAAACATGCGCCAAGTTCACCTCCGTGCCTGTCAAGACAACTCTGCACCTGCTGCATGCCCGCTTTCCGGAATGCTCTGACTGGCAGCCTTGACGTGCGTGCTTCCTGCCCTGCTGCGCATGCTCTGCCTGGCAGCCTTGGCGTGCGCCCGCTTTCCGAAATATTCGATCCGGTTTGCTTGGCAGCCTTGGCATGCTGTGCTGTGTGCTGCCAACAAAACCATGTATATGGCCTGATCCTGCGAGCTAGTACCTTGTCTGGCTTTTTCCTGAGGTTCAATAGCAGCGCTGCTTCACGAGGAACATGGTCCCCAGGCGGACCATGCATCTGGCATGACGGAGCTTCTTCAAGCGTGCCAGATCCCAGCCAATCTTCATGACTCTTTTTTGCTTGTCAGCGTCCAAGAGTTTGGCGTGGTGGCCATCGACTTGTCCGATCTGGACAACTTCATTTCTGACCTCAGTGTGGAGGCCGAGCCACCTCGAGCACTGCAAGTGGCGCGCGTTCGTCTCCTGTGGCAGAAATGCTGCCAAGCCAGCACCCTCAACCCATGAACCCGTGTCTGCCCCTGCACCCATGGCGTCTTCAGTGCAGGATTCGGCCAACTCCTGGCAAGAGCCCTTTCCAGCGAAAATACCTACCAGCCAGGTGGCGCAGCTCAAGCGACTTGGACAGCCTACCGTCCTCACGCGTGCTCGCCCTATTGCAACGCAATCTCATTGATCAGGTCTGGAAGTGGATTCCCTGGCGCCACAGGCTATCCCAGGCACAGGCTGAGGCAATGACCAGTGCACGGCCCCAGAAATTCTCTTGCCTCGGGCCTGATATATGATCCTGTTTTCCGAAGACGAGATACGTGACCTGCAGACCCTGTTCGTTCGCGAAGCACATTTTGGCGCCACCCCAGAAGGACATCTCCTGGGAAGTCCCCGATGGGCAACCGTATTGTTTGCGTGCCCTGCAAGCCCTCGCTTCTCACACAGGCGACGTGGATGCTTCTCTTTGGCCTTTGGCCATGCCTCCTTAGCGGAGTCCACGCAGTGGGGTTTTCGCACCTGTTTCTTGTGAGGAGCCTTTCGAACCTCCAGATCTCTTGATCTGCGAAGGAAACTGGACGGAAGCAGAAAAAGATCCAGACACCTTTCGTGCCCTAGTCCAGGAAGAGGTTGCTCAAGGTTGGTTGGAGAAGGTAGGCGCGCTAGAGCAGGCGCAGGCAAGGTGGCCAGACATGGTCGCCGTCGGCCGGTGCAATTTGGTTAAATCCGAGGGTCGCGAAACTAGATTGGTGTTGGATTCCTCGGTACCCAATGCATCTTTCCTCATCCCCGAAAAATACTCTCTTCCTGGACTCAGTGACGTGCGGGCCGCCTGGCCCTTGCGCGGGCGCACAGAAGAGGCTGAGCTGTTCGCGGTGGACATCCGTGCGGCGCACAAGTCAGTGCGCGATGCTCCAGCAACAAGGGCTCAACATGTTACGAATGGACGACGACCTGTTTTGTGGACGTGTCCACTTAGGTTTTGCTTGAAAATTCACGTGTGTGACTTTTACGTGCGGTTGCCTTGGCTCAAGTTGTGCTTGTGTAGCAAAGGAAAAATTTGCCCACCCTGCCCACCCTTGGTTCTTGTTCGGCGCATCCCTACCCATGCTGGGTTGTACGTGCGTGTTGAGATGGTCATTCCTCATCATCGTTAATGATGCAAACTTGAGTGCCGACTCTTGATACCTTCGGAATAGAAAGCGTTTCTATCCAGGTAATTCCTTTTGTGCTCCTCGCGTTGGTCCACAGGTGCAGTGTTGTGCGATCCCAGGATTGCGTGTGCGTGGTGGCCCCGCCGGGTCGTGTAGCTGTGGGCTCTGTAGCCCGCAGCTTTGCGTAGGTGTAGGGGCCCAGCCGGGTCATGTGTGCTCGTAGCTTAGGATGTACAGGTGATGGACCACTCAGTATCCATGCTATCCAGGGGTGGCATCAAAAATGTCGCCCCTGAACAAGGGACTGCAGTTGCCTGCGTGGGTTATGCAGAATCCAGCCATTGAAAAAAGTGTGTGTGCGTACTTTGTCTGAGCGATGAATCATTTCCTGATTATTGGATATTTCGATTCCAGATCCTTGTTGATGATATTAACTCGCGAGCACAACTTGAAATTTTCATGACAGAACGTACGCATGCACCTCCTGTCCCTTCGGGGCGTCTTTGAGTGCTTACTGGTTTGCCAGAATGCTGCACCTCATCTTGTGGATAAAACACAGTCTTTTCGCTTACGTGGATGACATTTTGCAAGAGCAACCTCAGCTGGTGGCTGCGCTTGGGGCATGCATCACCCTGGCTTTTTCCAGGCATTTCGAGTGCCTCTGTCGTGGTCAAAAATGCAGTTGTCCAGGGTCGTGACATGGACAGGCTGGCAGTTCTATGCGGGTTCACGCACGTTTACACAAGGCCATTGCCCAAGTTCTCTCCAACAGCACTTTCGGGGTGAAAGATATGCAGCGCTTGTTAGGTTTCCTGCAGTGGGTGTCGCAGTTGCACCGCGTTCTAAATCCTTGGCTTTGCACGCTCTACGACCACGTTGCCACCAGCTATAGTATCAGTCCAGACAGTTGGGCTGAGATGCTGGAATGCCTCAGCGAGAGCGCAATCTTCCTTTCAGTGACGCCGGGAACTAGTTTTCCGCTTGGTGGTCGTTTGCTGAGCATCCGCCATCAAGATGTGCGGACAAAGGCTGAGGTCGCCAAGGTGAGGCTCACCGGTAAACGCATCTGGCTCCGCGTCGCAGACCCCACTGACACCCGGCGAAGACTGTCCAAGACGTCTCACGCGCTGCTAGACTTCTGGTCTCAATGGTGCCATCTTCCTCCGCTTCATCGTCCCCTTTGAGAGCCGCCGCGCTGGCTTCCAGCGGCTTGTGCAGCAGATGCCTGTGCCAAGGGCAGCCACATCGGCATTGGCGGTTTCCTTCTGGCTCCAATGTCTGGTTCGCGGAATCGTTTTCCATCTCTGATTTCCACAAACTCGTCCCCAAGCTGCGCCCATTTGCTCAGAATGCAACTGCCGCCGAACTTCTCCTTGCATGATCGCGTGCGCCTGATGCTCCCTGCTCTATGGGGCTCTCCTGCTGACATCCGCATCTGGCCTGAGGGGCACAAGCTTATGTGGGATCCCCCCAAGCCCGTGCTAGTTTAGGGTTTAAGCCGTTAGGGGGATGCATTAGACCCGAGCCCTGCCTCTTGCATATAATCAGCTGCCAGCACATGCCATCCTCCACCTTCCAAGTTGGTGCGGATGCGTTTGCAGCGGATGCTGGCACGTGCTTTTTCTTTTGCATGCTGGTCTAACACGGGGGGTTCATTGCACATGCTGATCCCAGCCTCCCTGCATGAGTCGTGATCAGAGCTTGCATTTCCACCATGCAAAATCAAAGCACGTTGGTTTCTGCAACATTGCATATTTCGGATAGAAAGATTGTGAACCGAATATATATACGCTTTATTCCTTGCGACTCAAATTTGCATATTATGCTTTGTGATACATATGTGGCTGTGGACTAGTGTAGAACGGTTTACGTGTTTTACTCGTTTCTGTTTTACACTTGCCTCGCCACGTTTTTGGCGCCACGGATTTACTTTTGCGTCCACGGCCACTTTGGATCACAAAGCTGCATTGCATGCAAAAAATTTCTTGACCCACCCTCTACCGCCCTTACGCGGAAAATTTTCTTGAGCCCGCAAAATTTCTTGGAACTGCACCTGCACGCAGTGTACTCCAGCATAATCCTTTGGATGTACCTCCAGGTAGTGCCTTGATGATCATGTTAATGACGCAAACCTCGGAACCCTTTCTGGCTTCGGAGGCCCTGACTGTTTCGAAGAAATCAGCGGGGACACAAATTCAATGCATCAAACCAGCTGACCGCCCTGCGTGTGTCCACAGTCACATGCTTCCGTAGGCAATTGCAATTGCCCAGCGTGCGCTGCCCATGCTGCACGTGCATGGCTTTCAAGTCTTCTTGCCTCGCTGTTGACAGCCACAGATCAGCACCACGTGAATTTCCCGATTCCGCGGGCTAGTCTTTGTAGCTGGCAATGCCCACATCTGTGGGGTGGCAAAATTGCCTGTACGTCCTCACAGCTGTGAGGAACAACTCGCGTAGTTTGCAGTTCCCACACCCGTGGATGAACGTAGCCTTGTAGCTCGCAGTTCCCACACCGGTGGATGAGTGTAGTTTTGGTAGCTTGCTGTTCCCACATCCGTGGACGAACATAGTTTTGTACTTAGAGGGGGGGAGGGGTTCATTGCACATGCTGATCCCAGCCTCCCTGCATGAGTCGTGATCAGAGCTTGCATTTCCACCCTGCAAAATCAAAGCACGTTGGTTTCTGCAACATTGCATATTTCGGATAGAAAGATTGTGAACCGAATATATATATACGCTTTATTCCTTGCGACTCAAATTTGCATATTATGCTTTGTGATACATATGTGGCTGTGGACTAGTGTAGAACAATTCGGAGCAGTGACAGAAGGATCACAGCGTGATGCATGTACATACGTGTGAAAAGCAGCAAAATACACAGCAACCCCAATTGTTACCTCCTTTGCTGTCTGTTTTCTTTGATTTGAACAACAGCTTCGAGGAGCAACTTGCGATCGGGAGTTAGCGCATGCCTTTTCCATTCCAGGCAGTGAGATGCAGGGGCGACGGGAGCTGTTTTCATATTGGGCCAAAAACTTAATGGAGCAAGCAAACGTCAATCCTTCCTCGGCCACAAAAGGGAGCAACTTTTTCTTGAATGAACCGTAGAGAAGTCAGGATATTGGGGCCCGGTGGGATAGATGAAGATGGGGGGGATGGTTCACAAAGAATTTATTTGAGGTTTGTTGCCATTTTGCAGTGTAGAGAAGGAGGGAAGCGCGGCGACGGGGCGTAGCCCCGACCTGCCCCCTCGGGGACAGGTATTGCCAGTACAAGAAGAGAGGGTGAGTGAGTGAGTGAGTGAGTGAGTGACTGAGTGAGGCCTCAAGCTTCGTAAGAGCAGCCTCTGAGGAAGTCTAAGAGAGGAGTTTGTCACAAAGGCCATGTGTTTGGAAATCAACCAATGTGGGTAGGGCCCTCCAACCCACATGGACAGGTTGCGGTCTGGAAATCTAGCACAACAATCATCACCCAGTGGAAACCACTGCGCCCTGTTTGCAGAGTGGACCTTGAACTCGGAAACAGGGTGAGTTGCTTTTGTAGTCTGTAATCCATAGCCGTAGCAGAGCCAGGCAATTGTGATGAGCAATGCGATCGACATGCGCATGAAGTGAAAACATGTCTCTCTGCATGCGGTGCGAATTTTGCCCTTACAGCATGTCCTGCGTCGATGCTCGATAAGTCATCGTGTGATTTTCGGAGATTTTCCCTATGTTTGGACCAGCCTTTGTTTTAGGTCGCCGTGTGTGCCCATCCTATACCCAGCAATCCTCTCCAGAAATCTTCTTGTGCATTCCATTCCAAGACTGTTGGCCGCAACGGAACCGCAAATTCGGCCAGCGGTGCATACAGCCAGCATGTTTTGTATGTGTCTACACATGGTCTCCCTGGCGAAGTGTCCACCCGCCGGTTCAAGCCATAGGAGAGAGCGTCCGAGCAGAAGTGCATCGGAAATCTTTGCAGCAGGAGGTCCCTGTTCAGATCAGATACCTTTTTGAGATTTTGCAGACTTGCAGAAATGCAGTGTCATTAGTTTCGAGGGGGCTATTCCAGTGACCATTGCGAAAGTCGGCTTGTGTGAGTGAGACTACTCAGGTGTCTTGGCAGTCCCGTCTCCAGTCTGTTCCGCCTTCCCTCAATGCCAGGCTCCCGAGGCCGATGCATGAGCTTTCTGCAAATGCCAGAAACCCTGCGTCTATTCTGTCCTTGTGCCAGGTAAAAATGCTCGACACACTTGAAGCAATATTTTGCAAGATACTTCTTCAACCAGTATCGAAGACTTCTCTACATTCGTCATCATCCAATCGTGGTTGACCAAAGATCGATTCGCTTCCCACACTGCATTCATGAGAAGCAGTACCAGTGGCACCTGAAAACATCATGAGAGATGATGAAGCCACGCAGCGACGCAGGCTCAATAGCGTTGAAGTTTGGCCCACAGAACCTATTTAAACAGCCCGATACCGTGATTACGGCAAGCCCAAGGTTAACAGAAGAAACAGTTCAAACATTTGAGCATTCGTGGCGCTTGATATAAATCATTGAAATGTAGTCTTGAAATTTCGTGGTCGAGCCTATGAGTTTATAACTTTTGATACCAGCTAAAGCTCAAGACGCAAAGCATGCATGATGCGAAAAGACTACTGTGCTTTGAACATGTGCTGTGATTGAGTGCTGATTGTAGTTGCCAAGAAGTTGTCCCCTCATTGTTGAAATTGACGAAATAGATTTTTGCACACAGTTTTTTGGGTTTTCTACATTTGGGAATATCGATGCAACAAAACAAGAAGCAGATGGAGTCATGTGGTGACAAGTTGAATTATGGTGAAACATGATTCAGAACCTCATAACCATAATTTTATTCATGATTGGGTCCGGCAAAAACCATAGGATTTAAGAATATGTGTTCACCGTAGTTGAAAAGCAGAACAAATCCGGTTTTCTGGGCACGAACAGCGGAATCGTAGCCCGATTTATTGGTTCCTGGTCATATTTTGACAACATTGCCGTGGCATATGCCTTGTTGCTATCTACGATTAAGCGAAAGGGATACGCAAATTCAACCGCAGTCTCAGAATGCGTAGTGTCCTGGACGCGAACTCTTCCCACATGGTCAAACGATGTTGTCGTTTTGTGCACGCATGCATTTTCATTGGATTTATGTCATAAGTTCATGACAGAATTGCAG